AATAATAATAATAATAATAATAATAATAATAATAATAATAATAATAATAATTATTATAATAATAATGATAATATTAATAATAATAATTAAGTAATAATATAAAAAGTTTTGCACCGAATCGTTGGACTTCTGAGAGACGTTCACAATAAGTGTGTAACGGTATTTTTTACAGCCATAAGCGTAATATCATTATGTTAGCAGTTTGATAATGTTATATAGTTCTCACGTGAAACGTAACAGGTGAACGCAGAAAACTCCTACGCTGTGGAGTCTCACCGACACACAGTGCTTGAATTCAGGTCATGAGGGGGTGACTTTTTCGTACCCCTGTCGAAAGGGTAAGAATCGTTATGATTTGGTCGAACGAAATTCCCGATACCGTATTTCATCAATCCCCGCTGTTAATCTTTCCAATTCGAGCGCTAACCAGTAAGTCCCGACGCGGAAACAAGAATATATAACCACTCGAACTCCTGCGCAAGCAAACATAAGAACTCCTTTCCGTGGCAAGAAATAACGACGTGCCCGATTGTCACATGTAGCCGTTTACTCACAGATGGAAACGCTCGCGAACCCGATTCTTATAGGCCATAGAATTGAAAAAAAAAAAGAACAATGATCAATAATCGATAGTCAATAATCGATCCGAAACACGTTGAAAATACGAATGCAACGGTGCGACGGGTCGTTCGAAAAGGGTTCGAATGATGCGCGTGCGGCGTTTTCGTTTCGGAGTGCCGTGCGGTCGCGGTCGTACTCGTCCGGTATACGGTTACCCGCAGCGTTGGTCGGTGTCCAATGCGCGGTAACTTGTCCACGTAGCAACGATCAATACGGTCTCCACACGGCCAGATCGGTGTGCTGCTGCCTGTCGTTGTACCGGCCACCGCCGGCTTGATGGTGTTCGTCGAGTGGCACGGCCGCGGGTGGCGGTAACAAGCCGATCTCCATGCCGCCGGGTCCGCGCCCGATGCCGTCCGCGCTGCTGCCGCCTCCACCGCCGACGGCACCCGCACTGATGGTCAGCTGCGCGGCAGTCGGATTGCACGCAGCCGCGGCCGCGGCGGCCAACACCGTCACGTCGTCCACCACGTACTGGTGTTCGACGACTGCCGACGACGGGTCCTTGTTGTTGTTGTTGCTGCTGTTGTTGTTGTTGTTGTTGTTATGGTTGTGCAACTGATGCAGTTGGTGTTCGGTCGCGGACGACGGCGCATGTAGGTGAACGTGTATTTGGTTCTGGTTGACGGTCGAGTACAGGTGCGGGTACAGCACCATCGGAGCGGGCGGCGGTGGTTCAACGGTCACCGCGGAATGGTGCTGCGACGACGGGACAGGCAGCGGCGGTGGTGGCGGAGGCGGCGGCGGCGGAACCGTAGTGACCGCGGCCGCGTTGTACTGATACGCCGCTGCGGCCGCCGCTGCCACCGCGGCCGCCGCGTGATGATGGTGATGATGGTACGACGACGGATGATGGTGATGTTCCGCCACGGGCCAAGACGACGGGTAATAGCCGCTGTCCACGTCCTGGTGCGCCGGTTTCAATAACTCCGGATGATGGTGGTGGTGGTGCTGGTGATGGTGCTGCTGGTGATGCTGCTGCTGCTGTTGATGCTGTTGGTGTTGCTGGAGATGGTGCTCAGCGGGCACCTGCTGGTGGTGCGTGTTGCAAAAGTCCGCCATTTGATTATGCTGCGCATCCGGATGACCGCCGCCGCTGTACACTGTACGGACGCAAACAAAATAACTATTATTAGGTATACGTTTAGTGGGATGTTTTCGATTATCACTTAAAACTAAGTATTGTAAAAGAAAAAATCCCACAAATCGTTTGGTAGATGAAGAGCAAAACTCAAATTGCTTTTCTTTCAACGATCATGTAAATATTGCATATTTTTACATCTCATTGGAATCGATCAACACAATTCAATTTTCGATTAAATTATGGTATACGATGAAAAGTAACTTTTTGTACATATTACCGTGTTAATAAATGCATAAATTTAATACAATAATACTCGAAACGAAATCAAAACATCTTTGCATAAAATCAAATATAAATACGATATAGAACAAACTCGTAAACATTTATGAAACGACTATTTTTTACCACCATAGAGCGGAAAGGGAAACTGTCGTACGATAACGATTGAATGGTATATTTTTATAAGTAACCGTCTGAAATGTTTTAGGTATTACAGTTTTAATATGCAATGTAAATGTATTCATGACATTATTTGCTTCCAGTGGAAATATCCACGGACTGCATTATAATTTTATAAATTATTATGCCTATGAATAGGTCAAATAATATGCGTTCCTATAGTATTAAAGAATTGATAAATGTTTGTTAAACTAAGATAAGCTCTTTGAACTCTGTGCCGCTATCCAAAAATTTGTTTAATTCGTAGTAATTCAATTTCATACTATACACAATCAGTAATATTAGGTGTTAATCCAACAGTACGTTATACACGCCAAAGTATTCTAACTTTTTTTAAACTATTATAACTCTTTTCATCGTTCAACGTTCCCGAGACTCAGAATCCCAACCCATCCTTTCCTCACGTTCTTACGAAAAATTTTAACATTACTGAATTAAAGCTTGCAATTTCCTCACGTAAATCCATAGCTTCGGGAATAGACAATATCTCGCCTATTATTTTAAAACACCTCCGAACTAACGCTTTAGACTCCCTTTTAAACATTTTTAACGAAATTCTGACAACTCAATAGTTTCCTATCTCTTGGTATTCATACAGAGTCATACCAATTCCCAAACCCAATTCCAATACCTCTTTCCGTCCAATAGCTCTTTCTTCTTCGCTTTGTAAACTATTCGAACATATACTCAAATCCAAGCTTGATTGGTGGCTAGAATCCAACTCCATCCTACCACCCGACGTTTTCGCGTTTAGGAAGGGAATGGGTACGATTGAATGTCTTTCCATCTTTATAAGTCATATATATCACTCATTCAACAACAAGGAGTTCCTTGTGGCCACTTTCATAGACATACGGGGTGCGTTTGACTCAGCTAATATTCATACCCTCATCAATCACCTTCCCTCACTAAACGCTCCTCCGGATTTTTGTAACTTATTGCTCTCTTTGTACCACAAAAAGAATCTGTTCTTCTCTTCCCGTTTTGGGTCTTCTAATATACGTTTTACCTTCACCAGTCTACCCCAAGGCAGCTGCCTCAGTCCTATAATTTCTAATATCTATATGAGCATAATTGCAACCCAGCTCTCTAGGTCTAGTCATGAGTGCCTTACTTATGCGGACGATATGATCGTCTTCTCTTCAAATAAATCCCTTTACCTAGCCATTGATCGTATAAACTTGGCTCTTAGAGACTTAAAAAATATTTTAACTAACTTATCATTTGAAATCGCCCCTGAAAAATGCAAGTCCGTCATTTTTACTTGGCGAAGATCCGTCGACCACTCCAACATAACTCCAGACGATTACGCCATTCCCTTTGCTCCTAACTTCACCTACCTCGACATCACCCTAGTTCCTAAACTTCGTTGGCAACCTCATTTACTATCTCTTTCCGCCTTTACCTCTCGTTGGTCAAATTTTCTCAAGTCTGTCTCTAACACGTAGTGGGGGTCCCACCTCAAGTGTCTATTATCAATATACAGATCAATAATACGTTCTAAACTGGATTACGGCTACTTCCTTTTCGGTTCGGCCTTGATTATTTAAATATTAAAGCACTTCAAATTGGACAAATGACTATATTATGTCCTAAGTGCCATGCAAAAAAATGGAAAGATGAAACCCATGGACTTTGCTGCGCTGACGGTAAAGTTGTTTTATACCAATTTGAGTTTAATTGTTTAAAGTTTAATAGTTTAAAGTTTAATTGATAATTCTCACCATATATCAAAACATTTCTTTGATAATTCTAGACGGTATAACACTCTGTTTCAAATGACATCGTTTGGAGCAAACGAAATAGCTGAAGGGAACTTGATGCCCTCTTTTCAAATTCAGGGTCAAGTGCATCATTTAATAGGTAGTTTATTACCCGAAATTGGAAATAATGCTAAATTTTTAAAAATATATTTTATGTCAGAGTACGATCAAATATCTATTTGAACAAATATGATTCCAAATTTAAAAAGAGGTCTCATTGAATCATTGCAAACAGTTTTGCGTGAAAATAATCACCTCATACAGAGCTTCAGATCTAATCTGGAGTCGAGGTCTTTTGATGAGTTGCAAAACTTTAAGTTAATTATTCATGCTGACAGAGTTCCTCAAGATGAACACAGAGATCAATATAATGCACCTACTATCGATGAAGTAGCTGTATTATTAGTTAATGAAGATAAAGGTCACAGAGATATAGTTCTGCACGGTCGGAGTGAACACTTGAGTCGAGTTTCCGAATTGAATAGATCTTATGATGCACTGCAATATCCATTGATGTATACTAGGGGCGAAGACGGTTATCACATTAATATTTTACAGAAAAATAACCAGTATCGAACAAAAAATGTGTCCTGCATGCAATTTTATTCTTATAGATTTATGGTTAGAGAAACAAGTCTAAATCATCTACATTATTACAAAACATTATTCAGCCAATTCGCCGTAGATATGATGGCAAAAATGATTTCTGAAAGGTGTAATAATAAGTTTATGGGTGGCATAACATTTGTTTTCGCTGGTGATTTCCATCAAACCTTACCAGTAATCCCTAAAGGTACTCAAACTGATGTCGTTAATGCTTGCTTAAAATCTTCCCCTATATGGAACTTTGTTGAAAAACTTTATTTGCGAACAAACATGAGAGTTTATTTATGCGGAGGGGACGATATTTTTCCAGCACAGTTGTTGAAAATTGAAAATGGAACTTTAGAAAATGAAAATGGTTACATTTCTGTCAATTACACGATTGGACGGGTGGTCAATAACGTGGAAGAGTTGATTTCTACAATTTATCCTGACATTTTTAATCTTTCCAATAAATCTTATCAGTGGTTATGTGAAAGAGATATTATCTCTCCGAGAAATGTAACAGCAGGAGAAATTAATGACATCATCCTTCTAAAATTCGATGGACACTCACGTGAATATCTATCTATTGATACAGTTACATCAACAGATGATGCTATTCATTATCCACAAGAATTTCTCAATTCTCTTTCTCCTTCGGGATTTCCTCCTCATAAGCTAAAATTAAAAATTGGTGCTCCAATTACATTATTACGTAATCTTCAACCACCGAACTTATGTAACGGTACAAGATTACAAATAAAATCGTTGCGAAATAATATTATAAAAGCCGTAATTCTTACAGGGCCAGCGAAAGGAGAAATTGCATTTATTCCAAGAATTCCCATGATTCCCTCTGACTTGCCGTTTTCTTTCAAACGGCTTCCATTCCCGATTAAAGTTTCTTTTGCCATTACCATAAACAAAGCGCAAGGTCAAACATTCAAGTACGTTGGCGTAGATCTTCGTACAGAGTGCTTTTCACATGGGCAATTATACGTGGCATTTTCTCGAACTGGGGACCCGAATCATCTTATGATTTTAATTTCAACAGGAAATACAACAAAAAACATCATATACTAGGAAGTCTTATAAAATTCTTATTTTAATTCTTTTTTTTTCTTTTTTTTCTTCATCAACTTCAATCAAATTCTTTATCAGAAAAATTTCAATCCGTTTTCATTAACCGTTTTTTTTATATTTACTTGCCGATCACATTAAACAATAATATTTGAGTAAAAAATTCTACATATCATGGTCCGAAGGCGAAATAAACAACCAATCACGGGCGAAGCTGTGACGGGTCGGCTAGTTGGAGATATTCTTCAAAATCAATGCCGGTCCTCTCAATCGCAGCTAACTTTCTTTCCAATTTTCATTAATATATTATTAAATTAAACAAACCTCAAATCTACGAGCAGTCATATGACTCCCTCCTGTTCTTTCACGTTGTTCATACGGATGGTCAATTCACTGATCTGTCTTTCCATCAGCTCAAATCAATATCTAACTCCGTGGTCAATTATGTTTTCTCAAATCACCTCAACCTCCATTTTCCTAACTCTATGGTTATCTATACTGACGGATCAGTCTCTCGGTTATCAGCTAGGTACTCTTTCTATATACCCGAGTTGCATGTCTCTTTCGCGAATAACCTCCCCCCACATCATCTTCTTTTACTGCAGAGTGTTACGCAATTTATGAAGCCCTTTTATTTATTTCAAAAACAGATTCAGGTAACTACTTAATAGTTTCCAACCCCTTCAATTCCAAAATATCCCCTCTTGTTTTGCTCATTAAGTCTTGTATAAACTACCTCAATCATTCAAATCTCTGTATTCAACTTCTGTGGATTCCCAGCCACATTGGTATACTTGGCAATGAAGTGGCCGACCGGTTAGCTAAATCTACTGCCATCACAATCCTACCTTCTCCTGATCAATTACCTTGGACTGACTTTACCCTCCTTTTACGCTGTCACGTTCTCAGTCTTTGGTCCAACCAATGGAATAAATAACCCACCGATTTTGCTTCCAAATACAAAAATACTGCTCCCAAAATTTCTAACAATAAAACTTGGTTCAACAACCTAAACTTACCAAGATCGACAGTTGTCCGTTTCAACCGTCTCCGCGTGGGTCACTCACTTTTACCAGACCACACTTACAAACTTTTTCTTAATGACTTTGCTCTGTGCACTCTGCATACCGTC